TCTGCAATGCGGTCTAAGGTTACATACGTCCCTTTGAAACGCCACACGACAGTTAAATAAAACATTAATAACGCAGCATGCAATGAGACATAAAGGTGAAACTTTAAAGGGAATCTGCGGAATCTCCCAGAAGGAACTACATTAACTAAATGTTATACGAAAGTTGAAAGAAAAGCGAATAGTGATCCTGGATCACCCTGTATGTGAGTCGATATACTGGTTCCTTGGATCAGCCAACCGTAAAACCATCAAAGGATACTCCGTTGCAATATCGTGAATTAAAGCTCATACTGAGGATTAAAGTACGTCGGAAGATTAAAGTACATTGGCTAATACATACATATATGACGATTATCTCGGTCGGTTTTTAAATTTATATGCGACAAAATTATATTGAGCGGTAACGCGTACGTATCTCGCACGTCTGAAATATGTAATGGGGCTGATCGTCGTTGACTCCGAATGCTTAATACGAGGGATAAATAGGTGAATTAGCCGCGTGCATCGTCTATTAAGTCTTCGTGGAGGACGCTAATGATCCCCGGTTCGAATTCAGCGAGACGGCCGTATCGGAACTTTCGGCGCTCGTTTCTTCCTCTGCCGCCGTGCGGGACCACCTACGAGTGTAAATATGTATACGAGCGACCGTCACCGGCTCCGCTACGCCTACCATTACTGAGAACTTCGAGCCCCGGCGACAGAGCCCACTTGAGACGAAAAGATATTAGGCACGGATTAGAGGATTCCGCAGCCACGCTATACGACTTTACAGACGACGAATTCCCGACGCGAATCTGGTTTCACTCGTGGAACCCGCGGCAACAGGGTGTGGGAGGGGACCATTGTCCTTCGAACGCCCATAAAGTCGGTCGAATCTCGTAACTCGGGTTTTCGGTGATCGTGCACACATGTTGCCGTTGGAGAGTACGTGGATACTCCGACGCGCGTCCCCCGAAATTTTCGAAGCGGGCCAGAAGCGCGCGGTGTAGAATTCGCCTCTCGGGGCGCCGCAGCGCGCCGACAAAGGGCGCGCTTTGTCGAGGCTTCTCCCGGCTTCGAAAATCGTCACGCCGCGCGATCGTAAAACGACGAGTCGCGTAAACGCGGTTTGTAAAAGTGTTCACACCGCCGCGCTCGTCATGAAGAGCGTACCCCGAGTATCTCTCCCGTGCCAAGGTAAAAGTCAATTCGGTATTGCGATCGACGCGCGCGCTCGACGCTATGCGCTCGCGGGTTCGACGACCGAACCTGGGAGATCGGTAGGCAAACAGTATCGATAGGCGAGTTAATCTCCCGGACGGGCACGACGAATATGCTTCTGACGGTCAACACTGTCTAACAATGTCTATAGGTCGATCGATATGACTAAACCACACGTTGACCGAGCTACCATTTCGATCAGAGGGGAAATATTTGGTTTAAAAGATTTTGTTTAAGCATATTTAATTCGAAAAGTTTGCAATCTTAATGTAAATTGACTTCTAATACGCGCCGTCGAAAATAATTAATTAGAATCAGATTGAGAGTTTGGACCAATATTGGACAAACGTGACTATCAATTATTTTACATACGTAACATTATTTTTGGAAACTTTTTATCGTATATAGTGGAAAATTACTGCTCGGCGAATGTAAAATGCGTATTTTTTTTTTTTTAACGGATATGTGTTATTAAGAACTGACTAAACTTATACCGGTAGGTTCCTTGCTACATGATGTTTTCTGAGAAAGCACAATGGGACTATTCAGAATGGTGGACCCAGAGAATAGCTTGGACTACACCACATCGAATTCAATCATCTCCCTTTCTCTCTCTCTTTTTCTCTCTCTCTCTCTCTCTCTCTCTCTCTTTTCTCTCCGTATGTTATGCTCTTTTGTCTTATGCAAACCACATTGCGCCGGCATGCAAGGTACGCTTTCTGGCTTCGAAAAGGATTGGAAAGAGGCCAAGAAAGAGCGTAGAAAAAGGAAAATGAGTGCGACAATGTGACTGAAGCGCGAAAGAAAAGGAACTCTATCATTAATTCTGACACAGATAGTAGTAGAACGAACCTGAACGAAAGGATATAATAGTACGACCTACTCAGTTACTCGTTCGATAAACGAACGTCCGAGCGATGAGGAAAGATGCTTTCTACCTCATCATCATCTTGTTTCTTCCTAGGAGATATTACAGCTATTCTTGAATCCCCCTTGGAATAAATGAGTAACATTTACTTCGCGAATCAAGACGTATCTCGTTTTAGGAAAACGAGCTGGTGAGAACTTTAGAATTTCCGCATATTTTGGTACACGTCCTAGATCTGCCAAGTCACCTTTTTATCCACGGCGAGATTCACGGACGCTTTAACTGATTTGGAATCCAGTTTTTCTGAATAAAAATATGACGATCAATAACTTTAGACTTTAGACGATTAAAAATGTATTTTCGAGACAACTTTGAAGTAAGTAGAAATGCAGTAATTGTTCACTGAATTTTTTTAATGAACTTAATTTTAACAAAAATTCGTAATTCAAAGGTTATACAATGATATATTTAATATATTTAATACAGAAATTAAACAATGTAACATATTACAATTTTCTTCGACATTTTTGTTGAGTAGAAACTTGACTCCAAATTGTTCGAAGGATTTATATATAGAAAGCAGTGTGCTAGATATATGGGATATCTCTATATTAACGCCACGTTGGCGATTAATCAATCAAATGATCGCCGAATTATTGACCCGCATGTGATAGATATGGCTGGACGATGATTAGGCTGTTTACACGGTCTCGTCGATGTAATCCGTTCTCCCGCCTCGAAATTACTGAGTACCTCGGTTAAAGAATTATATAATTCAATCTAGCATGTGTCACGAATGTAATTGATCGTCTTCGCGCGCTTTGTCCCGCAAATTACTTTTCAAACGACATTCGGACGTGGTTCGGATCAGTAAGCACATGCCGGTGAACACATAATGGAGGGCCTTAGGCTCAATCGATAAACATTTCCGCGGCCGAAGTTAATCCAAATGCGCGTTCGGCATTACGGAACAATTCGAGTAATGAGAGTTGCGCAATGATCGGGAGAGGGGCAGGGGGCGGATACGCGCATTCTGTTTCATTTGACGCGACACACATTCACGATCGGACAAAGCCGCCCTCCCCCCTCCTCCACCTTGTACAATAAAATTACAGACAAAAATCTGCACACAATATCAAGGTGTCTCACGATACCACTCAGCATCCTGTATCCGATGGTCGAGTGCCTCATCCATTTGCGGCCTCGATCACAAGTGCGGCACTTAACGCGTATCCATGCCGTTCCTATTGAAATTTTATATTTAACGTATATCGATCTGCTATGTGTCAAAAAAAGCCAGAATGTATAATAGAATTTCATTCGGAGGGCTCAATATAGCTGCATAAAATTCGATTTGTTACAATTATTACAATCGAATGTAATTCGCAACAGCTTTGACGGATCTTGAGAGGACGCAAAATTCCTCGACCGCCGTAACGGGACGATTTTTAATCAGATAACTACTTAAAAGGCGTCTTTGCGCCTTGCACGAAGGATCGACGTCGCTGGAAGTCCATCGAGCTCGCCATTATTCCGATCTCGCTGCTACGCGCAGAGACGCCATCGCGCCTTTTTCTCGCGCGGCAGACGCCTCGGGCGTGGAACGTTCAGGAAGCAAGGTCGGATTGATAATCGTGAGAAAGATGAAAACGATCGTCGGGATCAGCTGAGAGTCGAAATACCATGCGAACGAGACGATCACGGTGAACGGGTCCGTGTATGCATCACCGCGCGGCGTGTGCGTGAGAATTGCGTGCGTGCTTGTGCGTTCACGCACACTTTTACCCCGCGCGTGTGAGTTCGCGCGATGTGGCGGCGGCGGGGGGGTGGTAGAGGGAGGAGGAAAGAGCGAGAGACTTCAATGCTGGAACCATGTGATCGCCATGGCAGTGGAGAGTGGTCTTGAGGTCTCAGATTGAGCGAGCGCGCGACGCACGACGCACAGAGGAGGAAAGAAATGAGAAAGAGATAAATAAAGAGACTGAGAGAGCAGAGGTCCAAATTCGTCCGGACGAAAGACAGTCGAGAATGACGCTTTACTGAGACGGGCACAGATCCAGGGACAGGAATGCAGGCCGAGTCGGATGGAGAAGGAGGGACGAAACGATGAACGAGAGGAACGGAGCGAGAGAACGACAAGAGCCGAAAATGGGAAAAGAACAGAGCGTGCTGCGAAAGAGAGATAGAAGATGTGGAGGGAGGTCGGAGGAAGCGAGAAGGGAGATTCGAATGCTACGAGATAGAAGGAGATATTCGTGGTTGAACCGGTGAACAGTTGGAGGAGGGGGAGAAGAAGAGTGGATGGAGTGGGAGCGAGGTAAGGCAGGAACGCGCAGCTGGAAGGTGAGCATTGGGGAGATGGTTGCAGGAGAAGAAGGGGGTACACTGGAGAAGAAGAGAGATAGCAGCACGTACATGTACGAGAGAGAGAGAGAGAGGGAGGGAGGGGGCTGAACAGGTAGAAGAGAGAGAGGGAGAAGAGAAAGATAGACAGAGAGGGAAAACGAGAAGGGGGCACCGGCTAGCTTGGCTCTCTCGGGGTAAAGCGAAGCCAACAAACTCACGTCAGTCCGAAGCCGGAGGGACGCTCGTCCTCCTCGTGCGTTCTCCGTACTCCGTTTATTTCGCCACGTCCACGACACATCCTTCTTCCCCCCGCCAAGAACTGTGAACATCCACGGGCCTCCGGCCCAATCTCGAGGACGTGCGGGAGGGGGGTGCGACCGGTACAGTTTCACGGCGCGACGTCGAGAGTCGAGGAAAACGCGCGATTAACGACGCCCTCCCTGGAGCGGCGGATTCGAGCGGATTTGTCGCGTGTGACGTGTGACCGATGCGGACCCGCGGGACCACGATCGCCCGTTATCGCTAACAGTTGCACTCGCTATCGGGCCGATTGTCGCGTCGGGGTTGGAAGCGTGGGGCGTGAACCGTGAGGCGTGAACCGGGCGCAATTAAGGCGGTTAACGGAGTCGGGAATATCTGTCCGCCGGCGCGGCGGGCCAAAACCGGTACGAGCGTTCTCCATGCGATATAGTGCGCGCCGCCGCATCGCCGCCGTACCACCGTCACCACCGCCGTACCGCCGCCGCCGCCGACTCCTCCCTCGTCGCATACAGCCTTCGGAAGGTGCATACACCTCCTTCGCCTGAGCTGCCGGTCGCAGCTCCGTCGTCGTTCGTGCATCCGCACGCCGAGCGTCCGTCGCGTGACCGTATACGCGCGCGGGCATCGAGCGTATAACCCGTGGTGTGTCGGTGTGTGTAGGGGTTTGTGTACGTGTATTCTCTCTCTTCCTCTCTCTCACCCTCTCTTCCTCTCTGTGTTTCTCAGTGTGCGCGTGTACAGGTGGAATGTGCCACCGTGCGCGCGGCATACGGATGTACGCTGACGCGTAAAGCCAGCGAGGGGCGAGATAAGGTCGAGTCGTGTGAGGTGTAAAGTGATCCACGGAGAGGATTCTCGTGAGGGAAAGAGGGACGTGCGGGAGGAAAACTCCGGGAAAAGTTTCTCGGTGTTTGGGACGTGGTATATACGTGGGGACCTATACATCTTGTACATACTTATAATTGAAGCGTGAAAGTTTCCGATGAATGAAAAGCGAGGAATCCGGAGTAATAAGAATTTTACAAAAATTCGAAGGTCGAGGAAATCGTAAGGGACAAGAATACTTGATTCGCGTAGGCGTAGAATCGGCGTGGGAACAAGCACGAGGACGTCGCATATTGTCGGAATGTTCAAGCGCGTTCGGGAACAGGAAAAGATGCAGGAAAGTTAGTGGAAAAAGGCAGAAAAATATACGGCACGGAGAACGCGCTCTTCGCAAGGAGATAGGCATAAATATTTAATGACATTGCGATTGGCGAGATATGAAGCGACGGGGTGTGGTAAGAGGAAGCGGGATTGTGTGCGGAATGTAGAAGCGTCTCGCGAAGGTCGGATCAAGACTAGAACATACGCGATACTTCACAGGCGAACTGAGATTAAATAAAAGAAAAGTTGAAAGATAAAGCCAGAAGGAAGCTGAATGAGAAAGATACTGAAGGCAGACTGGTATTAGAGAATATCACCGGAAATCCACAGAAAGTATATTGGACTAAGAAAGAAATCTCTTCTGGAGAGTCTATAAGTCGAAGAGCACGGTCAATTGTAAAAGCGAATGAATCTGGGGAGAATGAAGAGCGTTCAGCGTTGAGTTACGGGGATCTTAGGAAAAGATCGACGACGGTGTCGATCGAAGAATCGGGGGGAAAATCGGGAAGGTCTCGGTGCTGCAGGAGGTGCGCGCATTGAGATTCTTCGCCCGTATGCAGCTTCGTCGCGAGTCGCGCGAGCGTCCATGAGGCTTGAGCGAAGGACGAGCCGTTGAGAGGTCCACGCCATGAGAATCCTCAAAACGCTACACTGGTAGGTCCCAGCGCGGATGCGATATGACGCGCGCCGCGCTCCTTGCACGCCCGTCCCCGCAATAATTCGCGCCGCGCATTCCGCGCGCGATCGAGAATCTCGCCGCGATCTCGGCGAGCGGTGCGCGTTGATTTGAGCGAGATTGAGGCCGGGCGAAATACGGCACACGAACGGAAAAGAGCATTTTACACCCGGGACTTTTTATTCGAGAATTCGCCATATTCGTAGTTGAAATCAAAAGAAATTGTGAAAAATTTTCCTCATTTATATATACATATATTTCCTTCTCTCTTTCTCTTTCTTCTCTTGCTTTCTATTGCAACGTGTCACGAAAAACTGATAAAAAAAAAACCGTTACGGAGTCACGTTCGTGGCACGGGAAATGACGATTGGAAAAGGAATTTTGCTGCCTGAGGCCTTTTATCCTACAACTCGTTACTTTCACCATAGAATTTAAAAAAAAAAACAAAAAAAACAAAAACGTTTTTCGATTTCCATACGTTTTTATAATATAGGGAATATGAATGGTTTGCAACTGTGTCTGTGCAATTTCTTTTGTGACAGTTGTATGCATGCACCTGACATAGATACGTTGGCGGAGATTCATGAAAGAAAAAATGGAAATTGAAAATTGAAAGTAGTTTTTTAATGGCAAAGAATGACTTTATTGTAAAATTGTAAAAATAAGCATTGCTAATTTGCAAATAACGACAGTTTCCATGTTTCCATTGAAATCTATGAAAACATCCGTCTTTTCTTTAAAATACAGCACGTACGTGCCTAAATGCAAGCGAGCTGAAAAAAAAAAACGACTTTAATGAGAGAAAATGTGACTTTTCAGTTCGTGAACCGTACTCTTGAATTTCTATAGTGCACTTGTGTACGAGAGGCACCTTGCAGATACACTAACACCATGCAGAGTCTCTCACCATGTGCTGCACACATTTGCACGTTTCGGTACCTGATGTATAATTTAGATACATGATGACACAATTTCGATACGCTTGGCGCACTTCCGGATGCACGGTGCACGAAATATCGACAGGTAATAAATTCCGGCAAAAACTCGTCAATACTTTCCGGTTCGAGTACTGCCAAACTATCGTCAGATTCACCATAAATCTTTTCTGCGAGTTGTCGTCCCATTATTCCGAGCCAGTTCGTGCATAACTGAAAACAAGTTTTCGCATACACGTTACGCATGGAATGTTGCGATTCTAAATATTTATATAGTTAGCGTTATAATTAATGCACAATAAGTCATATATTATTCGCAGCAATAACCGCGACATAGTACGAGCATTTTGTCGACCACGCGAAGCACGCGTAAGCGATACACGCAGCACATTTTCCGGCTGCATTACAATTTCGCGAAGATCCCTTCCGCTTGTGATATCACAATCGCTATTCTTACGCGCTGCAGGTTTCAGGATATGCCTCGTATAAAATTACAGCGCATAACATTTAATTGTCTGCGAAGAGATATGCGTAAAAGTACGTGTTAATGGCAAGCTTCTGTCACACTTGCGTACTCTTAATTTCGACTTTAAACATTTTCATCGGGACAAGAATTACTCTGCGTAGCGCGGAGCGCGATATAAACTTGTATTTGCAGCTCTTAATTAAAGATGTCTGGGTTGAAGGGGAGAACGAAATAGAGAGCGAGGCGAATTGCCGGATTAACGTGGATAGGTATTCCACAGGGAGCGAGCTTTAACGCGATGTATAGATATAACGAATTAAGCCCCCGTGAGATATAGCTACTTGATAATTTAATGGCAAACTGCTTGTTATCAAGTGCCACTTATTGCTTTGTACAGTCGGAAGATCTCGATAATAATTATGCGTTATTACCACAGTTAGGGGGACATAAATGCCAGCGTATGATTGCCTATCGGGTGACAATAATTTGTGCGTAGATACAGGAATCGCGTTTGTAAATGCGCACTTCAAAGGTTTCGCATTTTATTTTCGGGGAATTACTTAACATCTGAAAATATATAACGTCTCTAAATCGCAGTGGTTTAAGATCCGTATTCGTGACAGCGACATTCGCATTCACAGTGTAATGTAAGTCGCTCGGCGACTGATGATTAATTATCTCAAATCTTTCTTAGAAACGGATGATGGTGCGCCAGATTCTAAAGCTCAAGATTCATCGCGTCATATGTACAACTCAATCTGGCTCTTCTTATCTTTATGTCAATTCCTTTATTCAAGAGAACAGATATAAGTACGAGAGACACGCAAAGCACTACACAGAAAAAAAAGAAATGTTAAATCAAGATTTATACTTGTATATAAGCGAATCTATAATTTTATAAGAATTTCAACATTTTTTTCTTGATTAAACTAGATAAATACTTTCATTCAAACAAGTTTGCTTCATTTAACGCAATTTATAGGTCTCATTTCAAGGTTGTAGATTCTTGCTTATATACGAGTAAATAAGTCTTGATTTAACATTTATTTTTTTTCTGTGTAAAAAAACGAAATTTCGAGCGCGCGTAAAATGCGGTGTCTCTCAAAAAAATTCGGGATGAACGTGCGTATAATGCGTAAACGTGTGTGAAATAAAATATTTCGTGGCAAGTTTTGTAGAATCGCGCTAGGGAATATCTGTGCTCGACTCTGGGAACATCAAAAGCGAATTCTCACGTGGAATTCGAAACAAGGGGAGATCACGTGTTTCCGTTCCTGACTGCAGCCCTGCTTACCTACCTGCCCGCCCGCCTTCACAGATATCGTTAAGCCAGGGACGGATATACGGAATTGTACGTTACAATGAATATAGTGGACTCCGAACGTAAACGCAGCGAATATCTTCACGGGGCCGTTCACGGAGCTACCTTTTCTATTTTTATCGTTATAAAATATATGTGTGCAATTCGTAAAAAATACGTGGAAGACAATAATTTGCATTTCGATTAAGGCAGCCCTGACAATGAAAAACGGACCGTTCGGCACAATGGTGTAATAAAAGTATGAATATTGGAATTAACTGCGCACATAAGTCTGAATAAAAAACCAGTTTAATTTACTTGGCGCGCGATAGCTTAAGGCTTTAACTAGCTTTAATCTGTCTGTTAACTGCAAGCCGTAATCGAATGGTGCATCCGTGAAATGAGTTTTATTCTTTTCATACAGCAATTTATATAACAATAGATCTACACCGCTTTTCCACTTACATTTTCTCTCCATTTCCATTTACACTTTTTCCACAACTACCGCGAACGCAAACATAGCTGGAATGAACGAATCATTCCTTTTCCCTTTGGGATTTATGACGTATCTTGATAGGATTTTCGTGGGGCGAGAGACGCGCGCCGCGCCGGTGTTTTTCCCGCGTCAAAACTCTTCCGCCGTCTCGTATCTCGCGCGCAAAACTTTTGTGCGAAAATGCAAAACACTTGGTAGGAATTTAAGTCACGCAAAGCATCGCAACGTATTCATTCCGGCGTAACTCGCATTACATAATCTACCGCGGATTTCGCACGCGATTACGCGAATAATTGTTCGGGCCTTGAGCACGCCCCGATCTCTTTTCGTTAAACACGGGTAGTTACGCGCGCCGTAATTCAGCAACTTGATTTCCGCACCGCGCCGCCGCGCCGGTAAACGGCGACGAGACGCCGACGTCGTCCGACGAGAGCGGCCGTAATTATCGATAAGCGTCGTTACAAAAATAAATTGGATCTCTATTGGGCGTGGAAATCAATATTTCTGGCTTTTCGCGACCTTAAAGGCCGCGCGGACGCGGACGTTTAATTACCGGCTCCGTCCTCCGCGCGTTTTTCGCGTTTGAGACAATTCAGGAACAGTGACGAATTCCTTCGAAATATCGATTGCCATTCGTTATACCAAGGGCGCGTGAGCAAAACGCTACCCCATCCGAATCCCGGCGAATCACGATAACGTAATCAATGACATTGTCCTCCCGTATGCCGTTGTTACGTAACTTCGTAACGATCGTCTCGTGCACTCGTGCGCGAACTTGAATGATCTCGCCGCGCAATGACGTTGCTGACGACGCTGAAAAGTGCGAGCTTAGGTTTCGCTTGGGGCCAGCCGTCGCGCCGCGCGTTGCGTCGCGTCGGTGAGAAAACGACGGCGTGGTAAAAGTGCAAACATGAATGGAGAAATTGGTTGAAAAAGCGAGAGTGACCTTTCGCAGGAGTCACGATTTGTATAGGCCGATCGTCATTAGACTTGCATTCCTCTCGCGAGTCTTCGTTTCGTCAGGACACGCGATACTTTCACTCGTATATCTTGCGCGCCGCGAATTTTTCGGCCGCGATTACCGCAAATTAGCGGCACCGTCACAAATGCGACGAGACTTGTCTCGTGGGAAGCGACGTAGTCTCCGATTTAATTTCTGCATTATTTTACATGAAAAAATATGAAGAACGAAGGAAAATGCTCTCGATTGAAAGAACTGCAGTATTTCATGTAGAATTAAAGGACATCTTTTTATAGAATATTACAAACAGTTAAATAGATTCGAAATTTAATTCGACAAACTTAGAAAATACGAAAAAAACTTTTTAAATTAGATCTTCTTGGCGAGAATTACACGTCTCATTTTGGAAGCTCTCGGATGAACGGCGAAAAAGTACATCGCGTTTTATAAAGATTTAATTAAGGCTATATTATTATTTTCAATTGCATCATATAGATATTATCGATGTAATGCTGCAATATAGCTTTTATGAGTCAATTTAGCTTTTAGTTAACTCACGGATGAAAGCACCCGCGCTGCTGCAAGTTAGATTATTATCGTTATCATCAATTTACCTTATAGCCGATCATATCAAATTGCTATAAATGCAATGCAACATTTTCATCGCTTTTGATCCCTTCGCGCGATTAGCGTTGCGCGTAGCACGGGACGCGCCGCACTCGCCGTGCGCGCGAAACTGCACCGCAACGATCTTTGTGCCGATTGTTATTAGTCGTGAATAAAGGAAAAAGTACCATTCCCTCAACCGGATTGTCAATCCTCCGAGCGGAAGAATGCACTCAGCTCGAATTAAGGGACACCCGCAAACTTTCAGAAAGTTTTCTCGTTCGAGACTGGCCTGACCTCGCCGTGTCCGTTTTCTTGGAAACGCATTCTCATGTACCGGGTCTGCCCTTTAAGAAAGGCGATCCCTCTTGAAAGTCCCGACAGATCGACCAGCTTAGATGTAGTTTCGCAGACGGTGATCACGCTGACCTGCTCACGTTTTCCATTTACGGGCTCCACGTGGAACAGATGCACGCGGCGCGAATCACGCTCACACATTAAAGATCGGCTAACTATTGGAAAGTACGGATTTGCGGCGTTTCTTATGTCGAGGATAAGCGGTGTTTCCTCGACAAAATCGCTGGTCCTCGCTCTCCGCCTTATTTAATTCTCGTAATTGTATTATAAGAGAAAGGGCGGAAGAGATGAGGGAAAGAAGAAACAGCTTCTTTAAAATTTAACGATTAAGATTAAAATTTCATCTATAAACTTTGAAGCGTGCTGCGAAGAGGGATATATCTAGAAAGTACGCACTGCCAGAACATAATTTTTATACAGACATAAAATCTGGAAAAGCGTTTCGTCTTTTATCATTATCTGATGAAAAATATAATTGGAAATTACAAAAGTTTTTACCCGCAATAGTTGCATTTTTTTATATACTGCACCAAATGGAAGACGTGAAGCTACGGAAATAGGCAGAGATGTTTGTTAATTGCAGAAAAACGCGACGTTTGTGTTATCTATTTAGATAGCAAGAATTCTAAAGATCTCGTTAAACGCGTTGCACAAAGATGCCACCGAAAACGCAGGGCGTCTCCGTTTATACTCAAGCGTATATTGAATCGCGGTACCGTATTTCCTATCGCCTTTGTTCACGATTTCCATTGTTTCCTTCTTTATCGTTCGCTCTATGAACCCTCCACGTGTATTTGCGTAAGGACCAAACGAGTGTAATGGCGTTCTTGTGTTGAATGCTCCACGCCCTACAATGTAATCAGATCTGCGAAAAGGCCTATTGGTCCTATATAGGCGGACGGTCTTTGTCGCGTAAATCTAATTTCCGATATCTTGCGTTATAATGCAAAACAGAAACGCACACGCGTAAGTGGAAATTATTGTGCTGGACGTTTAACAGCGTCATCGAGTTAGAAAAAATTGTCGATTTTTCGATGAATTTGGACTTGACGTAGAGAGCTCCCGATGGGCCGTCATCCCTTTACGCAACACTTTAATATTCAAAATCAAATATTATTGTAAAGCAAATGTATACAGGATTACGGCACATAAATTTTTATTTTTTATTTTTTAAAAATCATACATGACCAGATATAGCTGTTCTGCCATTGTCGATATATTTTTATCTATGCACTCGTATATTAAATTTATTGGAGAATATGCGCATTGACATTTTAGATAGTTCGCATAAATAAAAATCGCGAGTCAATAAATCGAGAAGTGTATTGCCTTTCTATCAGATTTCCCGGATATCTAAATTTTACAATACCTAGATGAGCTCTTTATAATCAAAGAAATGTTATTTAATCAACTGATAATGTAGTGTAAATAGTTTGGAAAAATTTAAACACGTTTTATTATATTTACTATCCAAACTTGTAATATATAGCTACATATAGCCACAGTATTAATTGGAGTTTGCATTCAAATATGACGATCTTCTGAATTCCGTATATATTTCAGTTACGTTTATTGCAGCAGATTTTTTCAACTTCCATAAAAACTTTTTTTACCGTTGATTAATATGAGAGAAATTACAATTTAGTATTCCGCGATTGCGAGATTTATCGAGGATTTTTCATGCGACTCTGTTAAGCTACTTTAGTCCAGAACAACTTTATAACGAAAAATAACTACCCGCGCGAACTCTTTCTCGAACATGATAAAACGGCGACTGACAAGCCGTAATACATATATATTTTGGATTTATCGTATCGAAAGTTTCTTTCCGGTCTGTTGCCGTGTGCATGTCCCAGAGACTTTTCGCACGACCGAACGACCAGGAGATTCTACATTCGTTTGAGACATCATGTAACATGCACTATCGAGAGTCATGTGATATATAGCGGCTGAATTTATTTCCATGTGAGCACAGTCACGTTCTACGAAATCTAAAAATATGGAAGGAAGAAATATTCCAGATAAGGAAAGAAAAAGAGAGACGGGAAAAAGAGGTGTCGCTGAGATAAATGACACTTTCCCTTTCAGCGGAATAGAGATTGCACATTTTTTAAAATAGATTTTTATAATTTTTTGCAATTTTGTCTCAGTGACTTTTGAGAAAATTTTGTACATTGACCACATGATTTGATTGCTATTTATTTATTTCATGGAGGAGGAATAAAGTGTTATTACTACACAAATACTTTATTATTCTATTATTTCACTGTTACTAAAAACGGGACATACGACGTCTTAAAAACGATTTTGGACATTGTGTTGCCTGGGATTATTTTATTATTATTTATAGCAAAGAAAACAGCCAACAATGGTTATCAAAATGAGGTTACTTTATCGTTTCTCATGTACGTACTTTTTTTTTATTGTGAGCATGACCTCCCTTAATGATACGTTGTCGTAGGTGTGTCACGGCAACATTAAGTTAGTTTACGCCTTAAAGATATTTAATTAACCGTAAATGCATAATAGTATCCCGACATACTATTTTGTATTCGTAACAGCCGATAATTTACCTCACCCAGGTTGCGTGCAAGAAATATATACCAACTAACTAGTTATCCTTCACTTAGTTTCCTTCGTCCTATAAAGAAAGAGTTACAGTTACTCGTCTGTTTATTATGCTATCGAACGTTTATCTCGTTAAAGATCAAAGATCAAACATTCAGTTTCTACTTATCAGATGTTACACTTTTAATTATCTGACACAGTTACTTATGAAAACACATAATAAAAATATCTATAAATATTCAAAAATATATTTATTATTTTATTTATTGTAAGATATAAACTATTTATATTTGCTTGATATAATCTTAAAACGTTGTCTTTTACTAAGAATTTCTAATTATTTAGTCTGAAATATATTCTTATGTAGATTCTATAATTTTACATAAATTACAGTGTACTATTGAGAAATCTGAAAAGCACTCGGGAATTGAAGAATGGTACACGTTAATAATCCGTAAATAGTGACATTAACGCAGGATCTTCTCTCTTGTTTTAGGTCCCGAAGGCGTAGCGGTAGTGGCGTGACGGACATACACTCTCAGCAACAGCAGCAGCAATTGCAGTTGCAAGAGAACAACAACAGTAGCTCGCGCGACGCGAAGAAGCCGCAGGAGGGACTGGGGCCCGATGAGATGTGGGCCCCTGGCGCCCTGGGCCATCATCGGGAGCTACCTGTTGATGTGCCCGACACCCTTCTACAAAAGGCCTATCCCAACAAGGTAAAAAACTGCTCTTCCAATTATAGGAACGAGCTACAGCATCGTCCCCGTAGCGCTAGCGACCTCGACCTCTCCCTAAACCTTAAAAACGAGACCCTTAAGACGCGCACCATCGCGGACGGACGTGCTAGACGTGCTAGACTCGAATCGAACGATTGCGCGCACGACGTCACCGACGCGACGGCCAGGACGATCAATGTCCACAACGGTCTTCAGCCATCCATGCTGAAGATCGAACTAAATATCGAGGACGAGGAGGAGAAAGTGAAAGCCACCAGGAAGAACCTGGGGCTCGACAACTATCGCGATAGCCCGATTGCGACCGGCTCGCCGGACTTGAAGAGTACCTTTAAAGCTTTCGAGGTGTACGCGAACGTTGACGAGGACGCGGGCGGGCAGAAGGAGTCCAGCGTCGATATCGAGGACGACTACCCCTTTGCCAAGGAGGATTATCCCACCATGCTGAAAACGTGCAGCGACGATTCAGCGAGTCCGAGGAGCTCGTCGGGTAGATCGGACAGCACCGCTCCCCTTGATACCAGCCTGATGCTCAGGCATAGCAAAAACCACAAGGACTCCCCGACTTACGACGTCCGAAGGATAGATCTCGGCTCTCCGTGTAGATCGGTGATGCCCGACATCAAGGTAGCCCCGCTTTTCGGCCGTAGCCGAGACACGACTTCCTTTGACAATCCGGCTTACGGACTGACGGACTTGCAGGATCTTCAGGGGCTATTGCGATCCGACGAAATGTCAGACTTGACCAGACTGATAGACGAACAATCTCCGATTCCAAGGACTCCGCAGGATCAGGATAACGTATCGCCTGTCCGCGTCAAGGACCAGCAGACGGAACTTTCCCAGACCGAGACGGCGAGCAAGTCCGGCAAAAGCCCGACGAAACGTCGTACAAATGATGAGCGAGCCAAATTGAAGGCGAAAACTCGCAGCCTCGATATCGAGGAACTGATTCGGGCCGGCTCGACCGACGACCTTCTCGGCATCGAGTTGAGCAATCTCTCCTCCTCGTCCTCCTCGTCCCGGCAGCGGCCGAAGAAGAAGCGGCATCAGCAGATCTCCAGCGGTTATTCCACCCTGAGGAGCGAGGCCTCTGGCGATCTCGAGCATAACGCGGAACGCAGCTTCCTCGTGGTGGGCAGAAAGCCTTACCGCGAGGTGGCCGTCGATTGTCCGCCGGATTTCGTGCCGGTCACCAAGTGCCACCCGATATACCCGCCGCCGAATAAGACCCCCGGCAACAGCAAGCACAACACCCTCGAACCGAAGCGCGATCGCCCGGGCGTCGCTAACGAGGAGAGTTCGTGCGCTACGACAACGACGACGATGACCATGACGACTACGACGACCACGCTCGTAGCCTCCCCTCGCCTCTCCCCGAACGATAATAGCTTCACGACGCTGTCTAGTGCCGACGGTAGCGCTAAAGAGACCGTGGTCGCGCGCACGGTAGACCGTAAGCACAGCTTGAAGAAGGTAAGGTCCAGAGTCAAGAGCTTGATATGCGACAGCTTACAATCTATCCTGCACCACGAGCATGGCATTTCGCTTAACGCTTACCGCACGCTTAACGCACCGACATATTCTCACTCCGGTGATCCTGTCTTGCGATCGTTTGTCATGAAGACGGAAAATTTTAACGAGTTCTCGCGAACGCGGAACTCGTTTGACGAACGAGATGGGAAGCTCTTCCGGGATCGAGGAGTTGAGAACCCTTGTTTCGAGGACGATTCCTCGCGTCGAAGTTTCTTGGAAAGCAGAGAACGTCCGTTATCCTCCGTTCTTGGAGAGGAGTTTCCTAAAAATTGCCAGAACTCCTTCCGCGGGGAAGCTGAAACTAATAACATGACCTCTTCCTCTTTTCCAAAAGCGACCGGCGATTCTATGTGCTTGAATCGCCGGTCGCTCTCCGGTTTCCAGGACAAAGTCGTGAGCTCTTGTCAAGAAAAACTTCTTGATTTCGGGAATGAAACCGAGGAGGTTATCTTCTCCGATTGTTCGAATGAGATTAATTTGTTGCCCAAGGAAGGTATCGCGTTTTTCAAAGTCGCGGACCATCCCGCAAACATCTCCGATCAATTATCCTTTATTCAAGAGACGAATCAGAATTCTCGGAATTTCTTGCGCGAGTTTTCTTCCATAAGGAAGCGTGTTGGGCGTTTATCCAATAATACGCGTTTTTCTGATAATTTTTGTCCACAAGAAAAGGAACGTGACAGCCCTCACTGTCTTGACGATTCCCCGAAGACGCAGAATGAAAAGAATTCGAGGCTGTCTTTCGAGTACGAATGTTCCAAGTTGTTGGACGTTCCGTCTATGCTATCCAACAATGGCGTGAAATTTCGCGTTAGTTGGAGAAGCGCGTCTGACCTTTCAAATTTAACAGTTGGTTGCCACTCGGTAATTAAAAAGAGATCCTCTTCATTCCCTAACTTTGTCTCGATGCCGGAAATCACGTTCTCACGACCCACCAATGGGGGGGATAAGGTTGATCATCCGGTAGTCTTACATGACGGACTTCCTGACGAACGTACGAAGCAGAGCGCACCAAAATCACCGATGCACACTTTGAAGAATTGTTCGCTCAAGTCGCACGTCGACGCTCTCGAACAGCAGGTAAACTACAATGGACTTCGCCTGAGTTTAGAAACTTTCGCCCGTCGAATAATTCGAACGGCGTCCTTGCACTTTGGAAATTTGCACGCCCTGCAAAGTAACTTCGCGTTTGATTGCCTCTTGAATTACTTGATTAAATTCATCATTCTAGTCGTATTCCTCGATGCTAAGGGTCGTGATCTGTCTATATGAAGGAGATACCGTCGAAGACCATAGAGCAGTAGTTTCTCCTTGCCTTCTGCACGGCAGTGTTGTGACCGTGGGAACTGTTACAGTCGCGCTTACAATTTTTTCGATACTTCCAGACTCGCTGCTAATCTAGGAAGCGCACTATTAATTAAAAACTCTTTTATAAACCGAGGCATGTACAGTGGATTAAAAAAGTATTTGCACACCCAGTTTTCTTACAATAACTACAATATTATTCCAAGGAATAATACATAATTACGAATTGTGCTCATAAGTAACTTGTTAGGTACATATACTGTATGTAATAAATTACTTATGGATACAATTCGTAATTATGTATTATTCCTTGGAATGAAGTTATTGTAAGAAAACTGGATGTGCAAATACTTTTTTGATCCACTTATACAGGATGACAGAGGATCAAACTGAGATCTGCCGACCATGAATCGACCGATCGCTATTGTACAGAGTCACGCGTCACCCCATTTGATTAAATTAGCTGATTAGATGAAGACATAAAATTCGTGTAATATTCTTTAAGACACAAATTTATGTATCTGATTATCTTTAAATTCGTGTAACATTTATTAAGACCCATTGTACTATTACTGTAAAGATAAAATGTGCAAAGACTGCCGTTCGATTAAAGACGCAACATGAGGAGCATGCGTAGAGGAATGTGGAATATCTAACATGAGATCGTCAACAGCATGATAAAGTAGCCACAAGCTGCGCAACAAAACTTACGAAGTAAAACGCTCGTCGCTTAATGATTGGGAAACATGTTCGTAATCATAAATTACATACCTTAATTAACATATCTCGAAATAACCAAAGGAAATAATCATAGTCAGAGATTCTAAATGACACGGATTCTCTTGTCGTTTTTAATAAACAAAGGTTAATATAAATTCGACGTCTCTAAAAATAGTTATCGTTATCAACCACGTTATCATTTTCGATATACGATTATCGATGAATCACAGAATCATTCAAGACTCGGCATTTTACTTCTGTTTCGTAATCTTGCTTTCGACATGCTTTTTTTTACTGTATGCATCTCGCTTTCCCCTCCCTTGTCTTTCTTTCGCTTATCTATTGCGTCAGCTTTTTCTCTTTATCTTCCCTCTCGTCCTTCCGCATGCCGCGTGCAAAATCGCGGTTCTACGAAGAACATCTTCGACTGAAGTGTACGAATAGTTCGTCTGAAAAGTAACGATAAAAAAAAAGAAAGGAGTGTGAAATGAAAAAGAGTTGGGAAATTTGGCAAATTAGTTTTGCGCGGCGTCAGGCACGTGGGACCATTAATACGAGCTGTTTCGGAATGGATTTTTAGGCCGGTCTCAATGGAGTCAAGCCTGCCATCCCGCCTCGCGATCAGAAGAGGGCACCTGCCAGACCGCCGAAAGATAATCTGCGCCTCGCCACGCAGAACAATAATGTCGAGACGAGTGATAACGCCAACGCCGAGCCGACGCAACAGCAGCTTCATTCTATCAGGAAATATCAGGTAAGAGATGAGGATATATCGGCACACACACACTCTTTCTCGCACTCGCATTGTGTCGAGTCACGTAAGCACGCATGATAAGCATTCGAGAAGCGCGGATCGTCACCAATCCTGCGTCGAATTTCGGAGGACGTGAAGGAATGTAAGTATCGAACGTATGGAAAAGAAAAAACAAGCTAAATGTGTACCTAATACACGTTCGAAATGTCATTGTTAAACTCGAAGTCACGTCCGTTGGGAGAACCAGCCCGACGTAATCGAGCATTCGCAAATACGCAAGTTGCCTAAAAACTGCAAGCAAAACTATAAGTGCTGCAAGGCGCTTCGCTTTTTTTTTCTGTCATTATTAATACTGAAGCCGCATCTGCCAGGAGAACAAATTTGATTTCGCCGTTACGCAAATTATGTCCAACCGTGATAATTGCCGCGAAACGCGTCGGTTTAGCTCGACGTAATAAACATTCTCGTAAAAAGGGAGCTTTGCGCGAGACAAGATATTTGCATATTGAAGAAGGGTTGACCGCGTAATATCGCCGGTCTGGCTCGTAAACTGGCGCACGAGACTTGCGTCGGAACGGCGTTTCGTCACGACGATAAAACTGCGCTTCTTGCTTTTGTCGGAATTTACGATTTTGCCCTGCGATCGGATTAAGTCGTTAATGGGCACGTTTCGGGAAAAGCATAAGCATTTTGCGGGAAGCTTTTAACTGTGAGAATAACGCGCGCGACTACTGGGTAGATCGGGTTACGTAACGATGCGAAGGCAGTAAATGACAGATCGTTATTTAAGAGGACGTACAACTTGCTACTCACGTGACCGCTTGCGCAGGAAATTGCGAGCCGATGACAATGGTTATTATCGGAGCACTCTTCGCCGCGCGCGACGCTGGCACAGTTTCCGAATTCCCCGCATCCAGAGGCACTCGAGGTTCGATTGATAAATGAGTCGCGACGTGACCTTGCACGAGCTGAAATTAATTAGGCACACATTAACGGGACGCGCGGTAACGATCGTTTGAAAATTATTAAACGAGCGTCGATCAACGAGGAAAATTTTTAATCCTCTTTATGCTCAATGCGCGTTCATGAAACACACGTGGCACTGAAACGTCGGTTTGCCTGTTGATAAAAGTCACGACTCGCGGCGGAAAAAAAATCGCCTTTTCGAGATTAAAGTACGTAACGTGAAGCTCCATTCGACCCCATCTCGCCCGAATAATTTCTCGCTCCTGTGGAACCTCGTCGTCGTCGTCGAGCTGTTAAAAATCGGGAGAAAACCCATCGTGAAAAATCGTGGATGAGATCTGGATATGCTCGTGGATCGAGTGCGGCGCGCTTGAAATTCATACAATCTCGGTATCTGTAAGTGTGAGAAATGCCAGAACCCCCTTGCGTGACTGGCGTCGTCGCCGGGGCCGCGTGAGTGTGTTTATCTTATGGAATCCTCACGCCACGCTCTTACCTGCCTTAAGTCAAGTGTGGTCTGGAATGTAAAGAACCCCCGCAATAGTCTAAGATTACAAGCTGAAGTGTAGCGTTACGAAGTTTTCGATAGGGTGTAGACGTAGGGTGACTCGCAGGCCTTCTGCATTCAGCTCTCTCTTTCTGTTCCGTCTTCTTCTTCTTCTTCTTTTTTTTTTTATTGTACGGTTCCCTCTTCTCTGACCTCAGTTTCTTGATCTGCCTCAAGCAGACGGGGGAATCCATTTCAGACTTTCAATTCGGTTCGCTGCTCTAATATCTCGAGATATATACCGCAGCAGGTGTGTCCCAAATTCAACACATACATCTTTTTTTTTACTTTCCCGTTTTTATTAAACTTATTAGCCGCAATGTGTCGAACGCCCGATCTATATTTTACATTTCTTTTCAATTTACATTTTGATATTTCGATTACCGTATGCTGCTATTTGATAAGAATCCTTATTAATTGCGAGTCCATGTATAATATAAGGCATTACAGTTTCCTTCCTCAATTCAATTTTATTTATTATTCTACCTACGAAGTTCCATAATTTAATTCTTATCAAGATGAAATCCACGTGTTGGAACAGATTGTCGGTATACCGCCGTCGCTCAGAGATCGTCCAAGCTTATATAAGCGACTGAAAACACTGGTTTTTTTCCCGGAATCCATTTTATTGTCATGATCAGTTTTATTCATTAACGTCGACACATACACACGACACTTCTAACGTGCTCCACGTTAGCCGTTGGTGATGTCTAAGCGTTGCGCGCGGGGAGTGCAAGCTCGGGTTCCACGGGAAACCCTACGTCTACTGTCGCCGTAAACAGGGCTTCACTAAGATATTTTCTATCCTTGTGCGTAGCATCGCGCGGCAAAACGTGGTGCTCGTTATTGTAAATGAAAATTACGAGTCGTATCTTTCGCCGCCGGCTGCCGCGGCATTGCAGATAAACATTCTTTATCGCATCGCAATTTTACGACGGTAAAACGCAACCGGCTGACCGCTTTATCAGCCGATACCGGTGGGCGTAGATCACGAATCGCGGAATAACACGGTTGATAGTATGACTAATTGGTGCAACTTGAGTAAATGTCACTGATTCATCAAGAAGATAAAAATACATATATTACAAATCAGACTTGGTTACATATACACATATATCGTTGTACATATCAAAAATAAATTTGTAATAAAATATAGAATTTTCTACTACACGTGAATATTCAGCTACAAATTCTTAAAGACTTGGGAACCACTCTCGTGATTTATAAAATCTTTTAGTCTATAAAGAGTTTGCTTGAAATTAATTGGGCCGTAAGATCTTATTTTATTTTGTCTGTTTAATTAATACATTCATTTAATACGATTATATAATTCTTAAAAAACAATAGAGATTCTGTTATTCGGTTTTATAAAGATATTGAGTCGTGAGATTTGTGTGGAGTAATCCGAGGTTTTCTCATCGAGACAGATTTTGCTGAAAATAATTATTTTTATTATTTTTATTATAAAATAAATTTCTTTAAAATTCTGTAGATTAAAAACACGACTTATATAAGCAAACGTTATTTGTAGCTCCGTAATATAGAATATATGATACGTATATCGATATGTATTAGCGGATTTAGTTGACGTTAAATACTCCTTGTTCCCCTTTGAATATAAACCACCTCGAAATAATTGTATCAAGTATACGTTCGCAAAGAGATTCAATTGATCCTTGAGCTTTGATATTATTCAAGAACTCCTTATTTTGCGCGAGCTGCAACCGCATTGAGTGGCCTATAAATTTTGCAGCGAACCGTATGTATTAGCGATACTCGTTACATACAACTGCATGTACAGCAATTATTTCGCAGTCTCTTGCATAATCAGCATAATTGTTGCAACAACTCTCAATAAGGTAAGATTGCTTTAAGTAAGACGAAGTAACCAATTTTACACTGAAATATTTATCTCTTTGAAATTTGTTGAATATTATTTCTTATAATATATACTGTAAACTGTAGATAATATTACGTAGATTATAAAAAAGAAACACGCTAAATTTAATCCGATAAAAATTTTCCTTTCGTAGCTCTTTTTGTATCTTTTTTCATTTGTATTTACTACTGCATCTAAGATACATTTAAGTAGAGATGTATTTAATCTTTTGAAAAATATGTGATATATTTTGTGAAGAAATGTGTTATATATTGAAATGTGTTATATATTTAGACCGTCGAATAGAATTTCGACATCTTGAACGATCTTCAAAATACACGCGAAGAATTCTGTTCTACCGTGAGATATGAATTTCTATGAACATTTTTATGTCTCGTAAAAAGAAATGGATAGCTTACCAGTTATGTTGCACTTACAGGAGCAGTTACGAAAACGTAAGGATGAGGAGGAGAGGCAGGAAATGCTCAGTCGTTCTCTCCGTGGCTCTAAAAAGCTTCAAGCTTTGGAGAGCCACGCGACGAGCCTTAGTGGCCAAGAAAATCTCGCTTACGCACAGGACGAGGTGACCACCGGCGTCAGTCGAGTCACGCACGCCATTTCTAATGCAGTCCAAGAAGTGGAGAAGTCCCCCAGGCCTCCCAGTAAGCAATTTCTCTTTTCCAAACACATTCTCGCAGGTCTCTTTAAATAAATAAATAAAAAAGAAAGAAAGAAAAACTCGGTTGAAAAAACTTAATACAGCGCAATTTTCACTTTATTTTTACGTTAACATTTAAGCTTTTTCAATTTCGTATTACGTTTCCTCGTTTTAAGGGAATTTTAGCATCTATTGGGTCTCGTTTGCATTAAATGGCTTTTTCTAATTTCGCGAACTTACGACCGTGAGAGTATTTAAAGAATTCTGAAAGTAATTGCTGAAACTTGGATGCTACTAAATATAGTATATTCCTCGCCCTTCCCTTACAACCTGCTTGCGTAGCGTAAATAAACAGCGGGTGCCGCGGCACGGGATTCCGCGAGGAAGTTTCTAACAAGTATACCTTTTATATTTCAGCGTACGGCGAGATTGTTGCTGCGCTGGAGAGTCTGCAGCTCAATGCTCCCGATATTTCGGGTTCAGCTGTTGAAGCCGAGTTCGAGGCACTCCGGACACTTTTGGTGCGGAATTCTGTTGTGTCCGCTTTGGTGATTCGTCACATTTTTCATAATCAACTGAGGACGAGCAAGATTTTTAAACATCATGCCGAAGACGCTTCGAGTTTAGCGCGAGACGTACGTAAAATTAATATTAATTTATATAAAAAAAGAGGGGGTCTGTAATATTATATTCATACGTGCGTGCTTGCGCTATCACTCTATGAATTTTTTGTTATTATTTAATTAAAAGATTTTTTCCAGTCGTGAAGCTAGATGGTGTATGATTTTGTATATTTAATTTAATTAAAATAATGGAAGAGCTCATTAATTTTTCCCTCAAATATTTTGATATCGGTGCTGATTTTTTGTCATTTTTATGCAACGTTTAATTAAATTACAGATACCTCGTTCGAATGAGTTTCAACAAGCACAGAATGTATGGCTCACAAAAACTATATCCATGATACCATTTTTTAAATCACTTGTTTAACATATCTCGCGAAGTGCTTACGTATTAAATACATTGTTATTATTTATTTGCCTCAATTTACATATATCATAATTCTGATGTCTTGGCGTGATGTTCCAGTGCGTGGATATCCTTGAAAAATGGCAATCGTCGTCGACCGCAACAGGTGTCGGCGGAGCAGAAACAATAGCCATAGAGGAGTTAACGAGTATTTTAACAAGTTACGACATGGAAGCTCTGCTTCTAGCGCACGACTCTATCCTCTCATACGTGGAAGGCTTAAAAAGAAAGCAGAGCCCGTCGTCCTCGCCACCCAGCGGCCCGCCCAGCCCGACGTCCAGTTGGAAAGATTCCCGAGTGGAAGATAACATTAAAATCATCCGAATTGAGAAAACCAACGAACCTCTGGGTGCTACTGTCAGAAACGAAGGGGATGCGGTGATCATAGGTAATCATACATTGTTGCAATTGTTACATTCAATTATTGTATCTTTTATCTCTGCTAAAAATTTTACCAGACGGTTTACTGCATATTTATCGTGTGACTTGATCGTTCAATTTCAAGAAATATAACGCTAAAATTAATCTGTCTTTTAAGGACGTGTCGTTCGCGGTGGTGCGGCGGATAAGTCAGGACTCCTGCACGAGGGCGACGAGGTTCTCGAAGTAAACGGAGTAGAAATGCGCGGCAAGAACGTCAATGAGGTCTGCGACATTCTCGCTGGCATGCAGGGTAGTCTCACGTTCTTGGTACTTCCGGCTCCGACGAACCACAGAAATAATTTAAGGAGAGAAGACACGACACAGGTATCGCCATATACAGCACATACCTTGATATATTTAGCACATCCTTGTATTAGAAATGTGGACCGCCGTATCCGTGGATCTTGAAACTAGAACAACCAATATTATACGGCGATGCCGTTGGAAGTGGAAGGACAAATGTCAGACAGAAGACATAACTTCCAAGATACAACTGACATTTTTATGATTTCAATGTCTGTAGTTCGGGAAAATCAATATCATTCATTACATTTAAGTCATTCTGTCGTCCGCTTAATTAAAGTTTGTTCAGCGCACCTGCATTGGCTGAGCTAACGCACGTGAACGTACAAAAGCGAATGTCACATACATACATGTAAGCGTTATGACATTTGTTCTTTTACCTTAACGACGCGACATTGATACTCGCAACCTACGGAATTTGTCTATAGATCGACACTAATAGAAAACAGCTGTTCCGGCTTTATTGCGCGGGTATAACGCAGGTATAACGTAACATTTGTAATCATAAAGCTTTTACCATTCCCATCTAGATACATATACGAGCGCATTTCGATTACGATCCTGAAGAAGACCCGTACATACCGTGCAGAGAATTGGGCGTGAGTTTTCAAAAGGGCGATGTACTTCACGTAATTTCCCAAGAGGATCCTAACTGGTGGCAAGCATATCGAGAAGGCGAAGAGGACCAGACACTAGCTGGTCTGATACCCAGTAGAGCGTTTCAACATCAGTGAGTTCACTATAATCGAGGAATATAGCGAGTATCTGATCATCGCATCTCGATCAAAATGCATTATACATTTCCGTTTTATCTGCAGGCGAGAATCCATGAAACAGACGATAGCCGGCGACAAGTCGACGGTGCGAGGCTCGAAAAAGTCTAGCACACTATTGTGTGCGAGAAAAAATCCAAAGAAGAAAAAACGAAACAAGTTCGGCGCAAACTTCAATGACGATGGGTATCCACTTTACGCGACAACTGCCATAGACGGTATGTAAAGCCTAAACTGACTGACTAATGCCCGTTTTCATTCAATATCGTTTAACTTTAACCTTAGTTTAACTCACTCCTTGTCTCTTTCTAAGGGGACTAGAAAGAGACAAAGAGTGAGTTAAACTAAGGTTAAAGTTAAACGACGTTGGTGAAAACGGTCATTAATGTCAATTACAAATTGCTAGAGCCTATTCTTAAACGTAACGTTTTCTTGCAGATTACGACAGCGAGGAAGTGCTGACGTACGAGGAAGTCGCCTTATACTATCCTCGTGCAAATCACAAGAGGCCAATTGTACTCATCGGACCACCTAACATTGGACGACACGAACTCAGGCAGAGATTGATGCAGGACAGCGAACGTTTTGCCGCAGCGATTCCTCGTAAGTGTTCTTTATCAGTCTACCGTGTATTTTTACTGTTTCATCATTTTTTAATAAAGAGAAACAGTTTAAGCTAAATGAATGTATCCTATTTTTCAGATACAAGTCGTCCGAAAAAGGATTCCGAGGTCGATGGACAAGACTATCACTTTATTTCTCGTGCTCAGTTCGAGTCTGATATTCTCTGTCGGAAGTTCGTCGAGCACGGCGAGTACGAAAAAGCGTATTACGGCACGTCCGTGGAGGCCATCAGGACAGTGGTTAATTCCGGGAAAATCTGTGTCTTAAACTTGCATCCTCAGAGCCTCAAGATCCTGCGGAATTCGGACTTGAAGCCGTACGTTGTATTCATCGCGCCTCCGAGCCTCGAGAAGCTGAGGCAGAAGAGGATCAAGAACAACGAGAGCTTCAAGGAAGAGGAGCTGAAGGACATAATTGAAAAAGCCCGTGAAATGGAGGATAAGTATGGTCATCTGTTCGACATGCTTATCCTCAACAACGACACGGATCGGGCATACAATCAGCTCCTCACCGAAATAAATTCCCTCGAGAGGGAACCGCAGTGGGTGCCTGCGTCTTGGGTGCAGTAACTGCCTGTTACTGAACCCAAGACAAATCTTAAATCTTCCCCGGTTATTGTATCGCAAGTACTACCCTGACAGAGTCTTCCGCGTAGTGTTGTACTTTGGTGCCATGAAAATGATGGAGAATCGACGGAAGCAATCTTCGAAGGGAAAAAAAGAGAAGAGCCTACCGACAGGCAATGTGAGCAGATAGGCAGCAGAAATCGCGCAGAGCCAATCAACAGTTCTAGCAGGATCTGCAGGATAATTTCTGCCACCCCAATCTGCTGTCTGATTCTGTTATACTTCTGTTGGCGTTCTGTCAACATTATGTGATATATCAGAACAGGCATCAAATCTGTAGTCTTTCTGCCGACAAACTTTGTAGCAGATACTTTACAAGATCTGCTTTTGACAGACCTGGCTGTCTGGGATATATCACCGTGATGAGACGGACGAGGCTCGGTTGCATCAACGATGTTTCGAATTTGAGTGAATATATAATCAAATAGCGGACGATAATCGGCCAAAAAATTTAAATTTAAGTTACGCTTAAATTTCCAACAGAGTTGCTGCAGTTTAGCCTACTTTTCGTGTCTCATTACTTTAGTGAGATTACTTTGGCAAGTAATCTCGACTGAAATACGTTTGTACGTCGAGTTCGAGGTATTTACGGTTATATTCTCATGACTGACATGCGATTAACATTATTATATAGATGCGCGAGTATACAAAAAGTATCATCTCGGTGCGCCAAAGCACATCTGCCGAGCGTTTTGCTCTTTCTACATATTAGCCCGTTGTACGTGAGGAAATGTACCTGACCTGATGTTTCCTAAAAGTGAAAAATTTCTAACTTAGGGGAGGGACTCGTGAAAATATCATGTAATTTTCTATGATCCGTGCACAATACGTTTTGATAAATTTTGATAAGTGGAAACCGGAGCTTCGATCCAAATTTTTTAAAAGACTCAGCGTAGCACGTGCGGATGTTACATTACGAAATCTGTGCATTATAATTAATTTTACTTTACGTTATCGCGAATCAATCATACATCACGCGACATATATCGAACTTTCGCGTACGATCATAGAGAGTCGCATTGTTGTTTTTTTCACGTGAAACTTGAGTTAGAAATTTTTGGCAATTCCGCTATTCTAACCAGGCGGAAGCTGTTATAAAGGAACAAAAAAGGAATTTCAAAAACGACGATCCCACAAACATAACGATACACAGAGCGTTTTCTCGAACGCAAGAGGAAACGTCTGCGATCTCGAAGAAGGCGAAACTCGCTAACGTTTTACCGTTCGCCCTAGACAATGTTTGTTTAGAGAGCAGAAACTCGTGTTTCGAACTCGTAGAACTCGTTAAACGCAATAGACTTAGGCTCGACTGCGGTATACAAGCTTTTGGAAATTTCGCATAAAACGATTGTTTCTCCTGAGTGTTTTTTTACAGGGAGCGATTATTACGCGACGCGATCGAATAGAATAAACGGTGTTTATCTGTGTATCATTGTATCGCTACGAAATAGGGATCGATGCGAAATAGAAAGAAAAAAATGTGTATTAGAGAGAGCGAGAGCGAGAAAAAGAGATCATTGTGGTTTTTAGTTGGAAATTATTCGATAAATGCAAGTGCGCGGTGTGTGTCTTACAGGTATTCTTGCGTCAGCAATAATTGTGTATCGAAAGATAACATTTCTGTATTTGTCTTTTCTTTTCTTTTCTTCGATGACTCTAAAGAGCTCCGGTAAACTCGGTAATGATGTGTCGTCAGTTCGTATAGAGATTGTGGGCTACTGTGTCGTGATTAGATCAGCCGTAATGTTAGTCGATCCAGCGAGAAAAAAAAAGATAGGTACACTAAATTCAATGTGAAACAAGTTGTAAAAGTGAACGCGCGACGTAGAGGGATGTGTCTTCGGTGAAAAATAAAAAATCGTTATCTCAATTTTTAGCTATTTAAAATCGATCTTCTAAGAGCCAATCGATGCATGACGGTTCAATATCGTGCCAAGTATCAGACCGCATGCGAAAGGACGCAAGAAAACTGAGATGTGCCAAATGATTCTGGATGTTATATTTCCAGACGAATCCAAGTTTTAAAATGCGCTCAAGAGGCACCTTAGACTTTGTCATTATATTGATTATGTAAATAATTGTGCACTTGTGTATAGAGAGAGAAAACGAGAGGAAGAGAGAGAAAGCAAGAGAAAGGGGAGATCGAAGAGGGGAAGGATAGTTATTCGAATTCATCATTATTATTTTTCTAATTATTATTACCCGAATTATTATTATCATTGTTATTGCATGTGCTGTTTTGTCGAGTGATCATGGGCATCGTGGCAGACAGTTGTTAACGTGTGTGACCCTCTGCGTAATAAATAAATGGACGACATAAATCCGCTATGTCGTGTCTTAAATCAACCCGGATGCATATTTGTATCAAATCAAAGCGAATCAAATTTTTCGACGGCAGTTCCTCACTTGGCAGACCTGCTACTAATTATCGTCATAATTATGATCATTACACGCATGATTCTGATTATCGTCATGATTATGTGAACAACAACGGTGAAAGTATGTACATTATTATTCTTATAATTATTGTTATTATTATTATTCATATTATTATTAATTATATTGATTCCACGTGTAAAATAAATTATACAATTTCAAAGAGGAGAAATATATGTATGAAGAAGAAATATATACAAATGTATATATATACATCGTATATACATGACCACGTGTATTGCGAGAGCCACGCAAGATTACCAAACCTCGAATATATGTCCCGAAAGAGAGAGAGAGTCTTGGTTGTAGAAGATAATATAGTTTCCATTGTTAAACATTACCATCTCTATTCATGTTAATCTCTTCTGTTCGTAAAAAAAAAAAGATATTTGACCATCGATGACGAAGTATTCTCTCGTGATACTTTCGCACCAAGCCTAACATTCCCGTCTTTTTCTTTAATTTAGTTTAAATTCTTCTCCGATTAGTACAATTGGATTTTATTTAAAAAAAAAGGGTAATGTGTCATTGTCGCGATATTATTATCGTTCATAATTTTGCTTGATGAGAAATTTGTCGCAATGTTTTAAAATAAGACGCAAATCGTTGAGTTCTGCGGACGCATTTTGTAATGCGAAACGCATGCAATTTTGCTAATAAGGGATGCGATAAGGGATCGCATACGAGCGCGGATACTCCGCAAATCCAAGGGTGTCGTTTTTATACACACAAACGTCTAAAGACGACACATTTGACTGAAGCTCTTTTTACATGCTCTTTTAATCGTATTAAATTAAAAGTTAATACGTTCAATCGCGTTAAGTGACGTAATTTAAAACAAGAAATGTGTAAAGAGAGCTTTAGTTAAAATATAACACTTGAATTTAGAGTGTATAGTTTCTGCAGCTGGCAATGTCGTCGACGTCACGGTAACGCGGAGTGATATTTTCCGTTATCGATATCCTCTTGCCGTATAGGAACGTTTCCGACACCTATAACGATATGTACCACATTTATTATTAGACCACCCCGATTCGCACAATCCATGATATAAGAACTAGAATATCAGAGAGCTAATTATACTCTAATCGATATGAACCTTAAATCCGCGTGAAATCGGTGTCCTATTTTTACGAAATAATCCCTTAATTAAAGAGAGATAGGTCATATGTGATTCCCGTTCTTCGTTTCCCGATATCCCTTGGTACTAATATCGGGTTCTAGGTATCGCGATCCTCCAGTTGTCACCCTTCGCCCTTTGGACGTTGTGTCGGCCGCGGTTCCGTCGCTTTGGCAAACGCCGTCGGTTCTTCGGGGACGGCCGTCCGCCGCCGTCGCCGGCGTCGCCGCCGCCGTCGCTGTCATCGCCGGGGGTGGTGGGTGGCGCGGCTGCGGGCCGCGCGCATGTTTCTTCTCCGATGGAAACGGATCGATGCTGAAAATAGCTCGGCCCGCAGGAGAGTACGAGGTGAGTCGCCTTCGCTTTCGGCAGGGCCTTCGCGTCTCTCTCGACGCCCGCCGTCGCCGTCGTCGCAGCTCGTTCCCAGCGAGAATAAGGAAAATAATTTACTCGAGTAACTCGTCGCCTCCAACTTTCTGTCTGTTCGACCTTCCGCATCCGGCGCGGCCGCCGCCGCTGCCGTCGACGTCGCTGCCGCCGTCGCCGCCGCCGTCGTCGTCGCCGTCGTCGTCGTCGTTCTTCTCGAGTACGCCGGCTGCGAGTACCGGAACCTCCTCGAGCCGCGACCCGCGACCCAAATCGAGCGGGATGACGCGGAAAAAATGTGCGCCGTATCAACGTGGCTGATGAGGCTGAAATCGTGAGTATTGCACACAATTCCCCCACCCCCCCCCCCGGGTTTAGCGGAGCCGCCGTCGCCGTCGTCGCCACCGCCGCCGAAAGGCGGACGAAGGGTGCCACCCCCGGTGGACGGCGGGCGCTCTCGCATGTTCGCTGGGATTGATCGCCGCTCCGGCATCTCTCTCTCTGTAATCCTGATCGCGCAGCGCCCTTGAACGCCGCATTATTTTATTTCCGTAGAATTTGCTAGATTCCCCGCGGCCGCGGTCGCCGAGAAGCGACCGTGTCCGGTCCTCTCTGTTCATTGATCTCACAATCTCACGTCGTCACTTCGGCGTCCGATATACGTAATCGCTATACTTATTACGCGAATCGCTTTGCTCCAAATACGAAGGTTGCGCTCTGTCCACGCGTTCGCGACTAGGACGCGTCGCGTACGCTGCAATTTCGAACGGAATTTACGTAATCTTGAACGTAATCCCGAGTCGCTAAATTCCGTCGTGGTATCCATGATTACTAGTTGCACGTTT